TAATTCTACTCTATTCTACTCAAAAATGCTGGTCGCAACCCACTAAATTGATTTCATGACCCACTATGAATAATTATTCCTTTAAACTTTTTGCAACTCAGAGTGTGGTATTTTACTGTATACTGCAGCCCACCTCCCTCATCTCCCTCCTTATTGCTCCACATTTTCCCAGTTCGGTTCCCTTTATATCTCACTGGATACTCCCAGAGACTCCTCGCCAGCCTCCTTGCCCTTAGTCTCTCTTTCTTTTTATTCCTCCCCATTGATTTTTCTCAAATGCAAATTTCATCTGATCATTCTGATGCTTAAAAATCTCCTGAGGCTTTCCATTGCTTAAAAGTGCATTCCAAATAAATAGCCTGAGTACAAGATCCTTTGCGGACTGTCTAATCGCCACCTCCTATTTGGTTCCAGAAACTCAAGGCCTTTGTGATCCCCCTCCTCGGCCCCCACACACAGACTCACACCATCACACCAGCTGTCCTTTTCAATGACTTTGCACATGCTGTTCCCTGACTAGAATGCCTCTCCCTCTCTTCTCTGGTCGAAAATTGCTTTGACTTCAAGAACTCAGATTACTAGGAAGAATACTGCCATTTGTGACAACATGGATGGAGCTTTATGCCTAGCAAGGTAAGCCAGACAGAGAAAGACAAATATTATATAATAGCATTTCTATGTGGAATCTAAAAAAGCCAAACTCATAAAAACAATGAATAGAATGGTGGTTACCAGAGACTGGAGGTAGGGGAGTTGGGGAGATGTTGGTCACAGGGTACAAACTTACAACAAACAGGTTTTGGAGACCTAATGCACAGCATAATGATTATATTCAACGCCGTATTGTGTACTTCAAAATTGCTAAGAGACTAGATCTGAAATGTTCTCACCACACACACACACACAAATAATGATAACTGTGTGCCCTCATAGAAGTGTCAGCTAGTACTATGGTGGTCATATATTGCAATATATAAATATATCAAATCAACATGTTATACACCTTAAACTTACACAGTGTTATATGTCAATTATATGTCAATAAAAAGTAGAACTGAGATTACCTATCACCATGAGGTCTTCCTCTGTCTGGTATGTTTTGGTTGTGTCTATATGTGGCTCTAATATAGTACTTATTACACTGAATTGTAATTACTCATTCACATGTCTGCATCCCTCAGTAAACCTAAGGCCAGTGACTTGTATATCTCGATCTGTTTTATATCACTGGCACCTAATGTAATGCTATTGTCCAACAGATGTTAATTGGAAATTAGCAGATGAACACTGTTCTTCAGTTCCATATCATTAATTAAATTTCTCCCATTCTATATGCTCTTAATCTTTCTGGCCATTTTAATGATAGTTACATATGTGTATGCGCATGTGCACATGCATGCATGCATGTTGAGGGAAGTGGAGAAGGGTGGTTTTATAAATAACATTTGTCTATCTGTAGTCCCAGATGTACCTTCTCCCCATGCCAGCCAGAGGTATTTATTGCCTGAGGGATGATCAGGATTCTGATAGCAGGAATTTTTAAAAAGCCATGGCTAAGACAATACTCTTGAAAACCAAGAGTTTTGATTTGAAGAGAAGAAAGGACTCAATGCCAGAGAAGCAGGCCATAGGGTTTATGCCACAGTAGACTCAAACTAGGATGCGTGAAAAACCAGTGCACCCTGCTCCTCCACAGGCAAGATTCAGAACTGGGGATACTTGGGGTGGAGAAGGAGGAGATCAGTCGGTGGGACCAGATCTAGAGGGATCAGGGAAGGCCAAGTCTGCATCAAGTGGTTTCGGGGAAGGCTGAGCTAAGGCCCGGTGAAAATCTGTCGCCAACTTTGTGCAGGGAACTATGTGAGCTGTGCATCTCAGAGGTGGGGAGCTGGGGGCCTCCTGTCAGAACCCTGCATTTCAGAAAGTTTGCAACAGAAGTGACATCTGGCCAGAGTCTACTCACCCCATCCAACTACCCACATGGGCAGAGGAACAGTGGTGATATGGGAGGAAAAGCCAAGTGCCTCGGTGGACTGTACAGAACAAACTAGAGATTCCACCCCAGGGGAAACAGTTATTGGCAAATCCTAAGCTTTTGCATGTGTTTAAAATACCTTTAAAACTAAAAATATCTTCTCTTATTGAAAAATCATTTGTTATAGCAAAATGCAGATATTAAAAAACATTGAATTAACCCGTTATCCTATCCCTCTGAGATAATCACTGTTAATCATCTCAGTCCTTGCAGACATTTTTCTCTGCACTGCATAGAATTTTAATTACAAATTAGAGTGGAAGCTCTTTGAGAGCAAGAATCACATCTTGTTCATTTCCTTAGTTCCAGCACCTGGGATAATACTTGATGCAGAAAAGGCACTTGACAAAATGGTTTTTGAATGAAAACTCTCAAATCTCCCTGTCGGCAAAGAGAGAAAGAAAAATAACCTATTTTCATTATCATTACAAGTTATTTAGTCAAAGGATAAACAAGTATGTGAATTTCAGACATCCTGAGAGGCTGGTGGGGAACAAGTTAGGGTGAGAAACCCTGGGGAGGGGCGGGGGGACTTTCACATGACAGCGCCAAGCAGCCCCAGGGGGCAGCCAGGCCTTTCGGTGATAAAAGAACCCAAGTTTTGGGGTTCTGTCAGCTAGTCCAAAGGACACTTACTTGCTAAGCAGGGTGCAGCCAGCACTGTCCGAGGTACCCTGTTGGGGATGGTGCTGGTTTAAGAAAGGTATAGAGCTCCGTGTCTACCTCTGCGGAGGACCCCATCGGTTAGCGGGGGGCGGCTTATCTCCCATCTCAGCTCTGGCTGCATTTCTGGGAGGTCGCCTCCCTCTACCCCCATACTCCCTTCTCTCCTTACTCCCGCCTGCACCACCCTCCACCCCCGACCAAAAATGTGCATTCTAAAGTCTGTCCTAACCACTGCTGCAGCCCACGCTCCCCCGCCCCCTTCCCCGAGGACTGCCCACTGCTTAGGAGCCCCGACTCAGCTTCCTGCTTCAGGGCTGCCCTCAAATCCTTCTCCCTCGCAGAAGCAAGGGAGGTGTCCATCCCTGCTTCCAAGCCTTTCCTTGGCTCCTCGTCGCAGCGCGTGGAGTCCAGCTTCCCGGGGCTAGGATTCAGGGCTTTCGCGGCCTGGCCGCGACCCCTCTTCCTCTGGCCCGGGGCTGTATCCGTGCCTGGGACACCACTCCCGTTTCTCTCATCTGGAACTTCCTGGAGACTGAACGGGCTGGAGCTGCTGAGCCCCAGAGCTGGCCTGAACCCCTGCTCCTCCCTCCCCGCCTTTTCTTCCCTCCCCTTCAAGTTCCCTGTTCTTCCTTCTGCCACCTCCTCGGCCCCAAGCCTCATCGAATTGCAGACTCTCCAGGCTCCTCCCTATCATTGTCCCATGCCGGGGGCGGGGTAGAAGGGCGGGGAAGCTGCTCAAGGTCACAGAGCAGGTCAGGGGCTGGGCTGGGATAGAAACTCAGATCCAGCCTATTTTCCAACTATTCAGGGCAGGCGGCCTCCGAGGAAGACGATGAGGTGAGCGCCCTCCTCTGGCCACTCCTTGGAGACAGATGAGGTGGGGGTAGTGGGAAAGTTGGCTGGCCTCTTTTGAGCCTCCCTTCTCCTATGCTTGGGGTGTTTCAGATCCTGGCTATCCCGTGTGCCTGCTTTGCCACGAGGCCCTGGTGCCTCTTGTTGGGTCATTAACTCTGGGGTGGGGTGGCAGGTGGCAGAGTGAACCCAGTTTAGGAAAAATGGACTTGATAGGAAGGCAATAATCTGCCACCTGCTGGCTGGATCCAAGCTCCTAGAAAACTTCCTGGTCTTTGAATCTTGCCTTAATCACTGTGACCTTGAAATCCAAGATCTGTCTTCAGTGTCCCTACTTCCCTTCTCCCATTTAGGCCCACCCCTTTTCATTGTCCCTGTGTTTCCTTCGCTCCATCTGTTAACCCTATTCACATTAGCATCTCTACCTGGGGGGATCTGAGTGTGAATAGGGCAATGCAAGGGCAATGCTTAACCCAAAGGGACTGTGCATTAATGGGAGGATTCCAGGCAGTATGACAGGCATGTGTAAGGGAGAGGCTGTGGGACAAGAGCTTCCTAAAACTCTTCAGACAGACCCCTGTAGATGTTCACCTTGTCTCTCTAAGAAAGACTGACCCATTTGTGTTTGTTACTGAATTAAAATTCCAAGGAAAGTCAAGGCGTAGGTTGTTACCAAATAGAAACATGCACAGAATACAAGGAGCTTCTGCTAAAGTCCCAGACAGGGCCCTCTTCCCCGTCCTGCATCACAGGCCTGCAGTCTTCAGGCTGGCCAACCCAGGGGATGTGGTAATGCTTCCTGTGGTCGAGGTAAGTGCCTGCTCCAATTCCATGCAGCAAGGCTGAAGGGTGGAAGCCTTGTGTGTAGGGGGGGTAGGGTGGAGGGGAGGTGTTTTCAATATGAAGTCATTCCCCACAGTGAAGAAGCAGCCACGTCCTGCACGGTCCACTGGCAGTCTGGGATGTTTGCCCAGCACCAGGAGACAGTCTATAAATGCCCAAGTCCATCTTGGGCTCTCAGGAGGCTGGCTGGAAGAGAACCTGGGAGTCAGCAAATTCCACAACGGCTGCCTACTCCATGCTGAACCCAGCAGAGGGTGAAGTTCATTCCAGCCTCCAAGGGTTCTATATCCTGCTGGGAGGCATGATGCCCATGGATTGACCACTGGCTGGAGACCGTTGAGGGCAAGCCTGATTCTTTCCTGTCTCTGGATTCCCAGCACCCGGTACTGAATAGATCCAGCTACTCATAGATTTCATGGGCAGGACAAGGAGTTCTAAGCGTGCCCAGGAGGGACCTCTCCAAACAAGAGAATGATCTGGAGTTTAGCCTAAGATGTCCTTATTGAAGAAAAGATAAGAACAAATACCTGGTGGAGAATATGACAGTGGGAATGGGTTCAAAGAGCTGGGGGGTGGGGGTGGGGGTGGGGCTTGCTCTCTTCCATTGTTACAATAATTGAAGCATTGTGGTGGGCTAGGCCAAAACTGGAACAGGATCAGCGTAACAGACTAGGCATGGAACATATTCTAGTATATGAAGAACCAAAGGACACACAGACAACCAATGAGGAATTGAGGGGATACTCAACAAATGCAGTGGGGAAAACAGGCTACTTGGCAGGGAAATCACACTTGACCTTGATCTTGGACAATTTGACACAGTGAGTAGTGAATAAAGAGCCACGCAGGTAAGCTCAGAATTGGTGGGATAGAAGCATACATGGGACAGATCACTTAGTCCATTCACCTGCTTCCTGGGCCCAGGGGGCGGGGGGGAGCTTCAGTCAAGGAACCAGCTCCATCTTCCTCAGTATCCCAAGAGAAAGACCTTATGAAGGCCAGGCTCTCAATGACTGTAGCAGTTCTTTCAAGCCCAGGACTTTGTGAACTGATCTAGAGTAGAAACTCCAGGGGTGTCTTTGTTCAAATTCATGTTTAGCAAAAATCCTTTTTTGCACCCACCACTGTAGGAAGCCATCCTGCTGCTTCCCTTCCCCTGATAGATTTCTCCTTTGCACCACTCGTGCTAGAAAGTGGGTGGTCTTGGGGACTTATTCCGTTCTCCCAACTGCTGTATAATAGAAACTTTAGTGGCAGATCAAGAAGGGACCCTGAAATTGTCTAATCCCCTCATTTTAGAGATGGAGAAAGTGAGGCTCAGAGAGGAGAAGTGGATCACTCAGTGTCACACACTCTGTCAGCGGCAGAGCTGGGGCAACCCGTCACTGCTCCTCTGCAGCCCTTTATTCATTTTCTCTCCAGCCCTCTTTCCTAAGACTTTGTTTTCCTCTGGCTCTTCTGAGTTTCCCGTGGGGTCCGCACGGCTACATGCTTGTCCACCCAGCCTGACAACTCTACTCCATCACAATGCTGGCTTGGTGAGCGACGAGGGTGATTCAGTGGCTGGCAGTCCCTGCCCACCATCCATTGTTCACGACAGGCCCCAGCCCTCTTCCCAGAACAGACTTGGCCCAGCACGGAGACTGGCTAGGGAATTGGAGCATGTGCCTTCTCTGGCTCTGGGCTCATGATATCCATATCCCTTTGCGTCTTCCCTACCATACCAGCTGAGTGACCTCAAGCATGTCTGGACCTGACTGCTCTTCTTGAAAATGGGAATAATATTAGCACATACCACCTAGAGCTGCTGCGAATGAAGATCAAGAGCCACATATATGGAACAGTGTTTTTGTAAACTGAGAAGTATCATTCCAGTGTAAAATGTTGGTGTCCCCCAGATCCCAATACAGGGATAGATACAGAGCAGATGCCTGCTGAATTACTGCAGAACAGTGGTTCTCGACTGGGGGCTATTTTTGACATCCCAAGAAATATTGGGTGATATCTGAAGACATTTTCGTTTATCACACCTGGATGGGAGTTGCTATGGCATCTGGTCAGTAGAGGCCAGGGATGCCGCTAAACACCTTAGAGCGCATAGGACAGCCTTCGTAGCAAAGAATTATCAGGCCCCAAACGTCAATAGTGCTGAGGTTCAGAAGCCTTGCTGAAGTGAATGAAAGTGTGAAATTATATCTGTAGATACAGATGTGGTTTGTCGTACCAGAAAGGCAAAGGAGCTGTGCCTGGGGAGTCGAACATCAAGATACCATGGTAACCAAGAGCAGTAACCACCTGGGGTGAAATGAGATGGCCATGCCCAGGTTTGATAAGTTGAAAACGTTTTATTTCAATTCTATCGTTGGGAGGCAGCATAAATAATCACAGAAGACCACAAAGGTCAATGGGGAAGAAAAAAAAGCTCAAGAAGTGTGGGGAGGGGGAGATGAGAGCTGACACTGTCTAGCTTCAGGGGATGGGGAGAGTGAGGAGACCCTGCTTCAGCTGGCCAAGGGGTGAAACTTTCTTGGAGAAAAAGCCCAAGAAGTTGGGGGGCTTTCCCTGTGCTGATCACCTGCAGGGGCTTAGGGAGCCCCGGCCTGTGTGGATGGGTGTTCTGCAGGGTGGCCATGGGAAAGGCAGGTGTGGAGCATAATGTGTCTAGTAGATCCTAGTGAATGAGAGAAAGGTGGGCATCCATTTCTTGATTCCCAGGCCTGATCTCACCCCCAAACGGTGACTTTTCTAGATGAACAGTGTTTATGAACCCTGTGGGTAGTGGGAAATGAAGGGAGAAAAGAAGGAGGAAAAAAAAGAAAATGTGTAGAAGACCAAATGAGATGTGGTATCTCAGAGTCTTGTGACCTCGGGCCACTGCTCAATTTCCTTATCTGCCAAGTGGAGAGAGTGCTCCCTACATCCTGGAGCGAATGTGAGACTCAAATGAGATCCCATGTGCCAAAGAACTATGTAAACTTTAAAGTGCTATACCAATGTGAGGGGCTGTGGTCATTCTACAAGTGTAAGGCTGAAAGTGGCTGAGATAATAGTGGCGAGAGACACACACAGAGCATCACCCACCTCTCGAAGCAATCTGACCCTAGCTCTGCCTTCCCCAGGGCTGGACTCCACACTCCTCAGCCTCGGCTTCTAGGAAGAAGAGGCCTCATCTCAGAAGGAGTCCCCTGGTGGGGAGCAGAGGGTGGAGGCCAGGGGGATGGAGGGGCACTGAGTGTGAGGGGCCTCAACTGGGCAGTGTGACACATTGGCACTACTGGTGTTGGGCAGACGGTAGAAGTGGCTTCCAGTTCTCATTCTGCAGATACCTGGGCACTGGTGAAGCCCCCAGGGGATTGGCATCTTGATGCAGTGGGCAGGGCTCTGGCCTGGGGTTGGATACCCTAGGTCCTGGTCTTAGGTCCACTGTTGACCTGCTGAGTGACTTAGTAAGTGCAACTCTCAGTTTTGTCATTTGTAAAATGGGGACACTATTCTCTACCCTGCCTGCCTCACAAATTAAATGGGAAAAGGGTATTGCAAGAGCTTTGAAGAGAATCATGGGAAGGCAAAGGGTCATTATGGCCTTGGCAAACAATCCTCTTAATTCCCTGAAGTCAAGAGAGAGGGGGCAAGAGACAGAAAGGAGCGGGGCTGCTTGCAACCCTTGTCAGGTGAATCTGGCTTCCAGGGCTGCTGAGGAAGGTGGGGGAAGGGAAGGGAGAACAGGTGATGCCTGCCATACAGCCCTGACAGTGTGGTCCATCAGGGATGCTATCTATGAGCCCCAGCAGAGGGTGCTGAGATGTCCTAGCAGCAGCCCTTTCGCAGGGGAAAAGTTCTAATTCTAATCTACCGGGGTCCTGGTTTCTTCCTCTGCTCCTTGGTCCACTGAGGGCACCCCTCGGGGAGTCCGTAGTCTTTGCCCAGCCAGGGGAAGCCGAGGCTCCTGGGGTGGCAGGGAAAGGGGCTGCCAGCGGTGGGTCTCCAGGAGAGGCTGGGGACTTTTATTAGCATGAGGTCAAGAGGTCAAAGATCAGCTTCCAGTTCTTGAGGTGGCAGGTGGGGTCCTCAGGCTCTCCCCCAGCTTCCGTCATCCTGGCTCTGTCTCTGGGGTCACAGGATAAGAAGAAGTTAAGGGACAGGTAGAAACAACGGAGAGATTGGCTTAGAAAGCAGCCCCCACCGGGGAGCTAACAGTTCTTCGGGCTGTTGCGCAAGTTCTTCAGTTCCAGCTGTAGCTGCCGAATTCGGATGTCCTTCTGGGCCAGCTCCTCTTTCAATCGCCGAATCTCATCCTGCTGCCGGAAGAACATTCGGAGGAGCTGAATGGAGGAAGAGAGGGGGCCACGGAGGGCCAGGCCAGGAGAGAGCAAGTGAGAAGGTGATTTCTCGAGTGGGTACCCAGAGCCCCACACTCCCCATAGAAGCCTCTGGTCTTCCTCCCTCAGGTCTTCCACTGCTCCCTCTACTTTAATGTCCCAGGTGACTAATGTCACCACAGCTCTCCCTTCTCCAGACACAGCTCATGGCTCCTACTTTCTGCTGCGACGTAGGAAAAACAGACCTGATTTTTGTTCTGGGCCCGATTCAGGGTCACTGAGGAAGGGGTGAGTCCATACAGGCTAGTTTTCCAAACATCCCAAGCTTATCCTTTTAGAGGTCCAAACTTAATACTTTTAGTTACCATTCTGGATGGAAATCTTTCTCAAATGTTTTGCATCCTTCTCTTCTTGAGGAGGCTTAGGATACAGAATGGAATCCAGCTTTTTTCCTGATGTTTTGGGACAAACACAGGCACACCAAAGTTTGTACCGGGCAGTGATTCATTTGCTGGTATGGGCAAAGCACAGGTATCTGACAAACCCTCACTTAGATGGCCTACTGGGTTAACCAGTCTCTCCACTTCTTCTGTAAAACAGACTGACAGATACCCACAGAATACTGGGCTCTGGAAGGCAGAGGCTAATGAGGAGCCCAGACACTTGAGTTGAATGTTACCAACAAGCAGTTGGATTTGTCCTCAGCCTTCCTGGTGTGAGGCTCATTTGTTCCTGTAATTACACCATTTAATTAAATATGATATAAACTGATGAGATATGAGTACAAAGGAGAGTTGCTGTTTCTATAAAAACTACGTTGAATATTTTAGAAAAATCTTGGTAAAGGTGATGCTAAAAATGTTGCTGCGAATGAGGTGTGGATGATATAATCACAAAAGATTGGGGAATATTCTGTATCTTGATCGTGGGATAGTGGTTACATGACTATTAAAACTTTTACACATTTGTCAAAACTTATAGAACTGTACACTACAAAGGATGAATTTTAACATAAGTAAATTAAATCTCAATAAATCTGTCTTAAAAAATAACTGAGGAAAACTTTGAAAAAAAAGTAGGGTTTTTTTTCTTTTGTTTTCAGATTGACTTTAAGATCTTGTTGCAGGTTAAAAAAAAACAAAAACAAAAACAAAACCAAAAAAACAAAAACAAAAAAACAACCCTGGAAGTTGGAGTTAAAGTGCGATTTATTTGGGAAAGACGTACCAGATCCCAACCAGGGATCTCCTCAAGGAGATGGTCTTGGTCCTGCATCAAAATATATTGAATGAATCGATATGTTTTAAATGAAAATAAATGGTTTAAAGAATGTAGATATCGTTTTTATGATTCTCCTCCTTTAACTGACATTTTCTTGCAACCCTGGAAGTTGGAGTTAAAGTGTGATTTATTTGGGAAAGACATACCAGATCCCAACCAGGGATCTCCTCAAAGAGATGGTCTTGGTCCTGCATCAAAATATATTGAATGAATCGATATGTTTTAAATGAAAATAAATGGTTTAAAGAATGTAGATATCATTTTTATGATTCTCCTCCTTTAACTGACATTTTCTTTCTTTATTAACCAACAAACCAGTCCTGGTTTTGTGTGAGGGAAGATATGCTATTTGCTCCTACACATTCCTGTGCCTTCCAAATTATCAATTTTTTTGCATAATTTTTGTCAGCTTTTGTTTAAAAAAGGCTTTATTGAGGTATAATTCACATTCCATAAATTTCACTCATTTTAAGTGTACAATTTAGTGATTTTTTAGTAGTTACAGAGTTGTGCAACCCTAAGTCTCTTTTCCTGTGTCAAACTACTGGTCATCTCTTCACACTTAGACCAATGTGTCTACTATTTACAGCTCCATTTGCTAATGGGATAAACCAGAATTAGCAGGCTCTGAGTGAATTTATTTTCAATGAGGATAGTGCACAAGCTTTATTATAGGGAGAGTCTGCTCAGAGACCCTTTAAAATTTTCCTCCAGGTCCTCAGTTCTGATTCATATAGACAAGTCTATAGCTGAATGTTATTAGATTTAACTACTATTCAACTTTGCCTTCTCTACGGCTGGTATTAGAACCGAGCTCAGGCTCTTGTTATGACCCACCTGGGTTAGCACAGCAACTCAGGTACCTCTACCTTCTTAAGGTACTCAGAAAAAAAATATTTTAATGGAAAATGCCAAATATCTGCAAAACTATAAAGACTAGCATCATGAACCTCTAAGTACTCATCAGCCAGCTTCAACAAATGACATGTGTTACTGCATCTCCTCCTTGATATCTATCTATTCCTAGGATCTACTCCTGCCCACTTCTCCTGCACCACATTCCTCAGGGATTATTTTGGGGGAAAAAAAAAATCCCATTTATCACATGATTTCATCCAACCCTCTATAATGGCACATAAACATATTTTATAAGGATTATCAGTTTACCTGTCAGTTTCCCCTTTAAGATTGTGAGATCCCGGAGTTCAGGAATAGTCTTATTTTTATAAATAATAGTGATAGTTGTAAGCTGGTATAACAAGAAGACTCTAAGATGGCCCTTATATTATCCCCTCCCCTCAAGGGTGGGCTAGACCTAGTAATTTGCTTCGAATGCATAGAATATGGCAGAGGTGATGGGATGTGGTTTCCAAAGTTAGGTCACAAGAAGACTGTGGGTCCATCCTGGACACCCTCTCTTCCTCACTCACTCCGAGGGAAGCCAGTTGCCATGTTGTGAGTTGCCCTACGGAGAGGGCCATGTGGCAAGGACCTGGGGGCCCTCTGGCTGACAGCCCATGAAGAACTGAGACTCTTACTCCACCAACCTATGAGAAAATGAGTTCTGCCAGCCATCATGTGAGTGAACTTGGAAGTAGATAAGCCCTCAGATGTGACTGCACACCTGGCTGACAGTTTACACCCTCCTGAGAGAACCTGAGTCACAAGCACCCACAGAAACTATGAGATAATAAACATTTGTGGGTTTAAGTCATTGTAAGTTGCTACATAGCAATAGATAGCTAATACAGTTAGTCTCCTGGAACACTTCATGTGAGCCAGGGAGAGTGCTAGATAGACACTTAGGGATTATCTCTTTAATGCTCATAGCATTTCATATCCCCATTTTTCCATGAGGCAATGGACTTAGGTCAGGAAACTTGTTCAGGCAAAGCCAGGAAATGGGAGAGCCAGGATTCAAATGCAGGTGGATCCACATAGCCATCTATACTTCAGCTGTGTCAAGCCAAGTGCCTGGCATACAGTAGGCATTCTGTGAATTCTGGCTGAGCTGAACTGTGCTGGCACCAGAGACTGAAGGTGTGGTTGGAAAGAGAAAGTTTTGGGGGTATGGCCAAGGCCCATCTATGGTTGCCCCTAAATGAGTTGCGCCCATTCCAAATGGTACAAAGAGCATTTCCATAAGCACCTGACCTCTTCCACAGAAACAGGAAATTGTCAGACCCCATCATTACTACAATGCCAGGGAGGAAGGCAGTGCTGGAATGCATGAGCCTGGCTTTCCTGTGCGAGTCAGGAATTTATATCTTTTATAACACCAAATGACAGCAGCATTCCAGAATGGATTCATGAGGAGACATGTAGCTGTGTGGGTTAGTCGATTTGAGGATTGGGGGAGGGGAATCAATATCCTTGTGATATCTCAGTCTCTATTTATTGGGGTCAGAGGCAATGGAAGCCAATAGCAGGCTACTTAAGGTATTTGTCACAGAAAGAAAAAGGCCTCAGAATGAAGCTGGCTTAAAGGCCTGAAGCCCGTAATTGAAATGTAAAGGTTTTGCTCTTCCCAGGGCCTGTGGAGGTAATAACTTATATTCCTTACCTCATTCTCTGTCCTGGGTGGGACATTTTCTAATAAATCTATTCCATTGACCACAACACTCTTCTTTTCTTTGATGGGAGCCTTAAATACCATTTTCGAGGACTTCTTATAGCCTTCTTTCAAAGACATCAGCACGGGATCTAAAAAAGGCAAGGGACATATTTTCGCTGACAATCGAAGGAACATCAAGTGATGCACTTTCATTTCCACCATGCTTGACAGTTGCCCGAGTGCGAGCGGAAGTTCCAATGGGAGAATATGCAAGAGAAATGGGGTGAGCCAGACTGAAGGCAAAGCTCGCAGACTCTTAGCCTCTTCTGTGAAGCCCACTCCTTCCTGTACCTACCTCGGTTGATACCTCCCAGCCATTCGTCAGGAGTCAGAGCTGGCTCCGTGCCTGGTGTCATGGGGTAAATATCTTCCTGATAGGAATCTGACTGCAGTGGGGGGAACAAAAGAGAGGACAGATGGGGGGCTGCTGAGAAAAACCCCTGCTTTCTAGTCAGACTTTTCTCCCTGCTGATCTCCAACCACAGGCTTTCCTGCCTCTAAGCCTTTGCATTCACAGTGTCTCCCACTTGGAATTCCCACCCTGAGTTCATTAGTAAGCCGAACTGTCTCATCTTAGAATGTCCTCCACCCCCCACCCCAAACTGAGCCTGAAGACCCCAGTCCACAGGAAGAGGGCTCCTCCAGGCTTACAGTCAGTGGCCAATAAGCTAGAATTCAAAGTAGGGGCCCTTGGGAGCCCCACTCACCCTCCGGGGCACGATCATGGAGATGGGCTCGATCAGGCCCTTGAGAGTCACCAGCTTGTAGAAGCGGAACACCTCGCAGGCCGACACATCCAGCCCGTGTTTGGGCATGACCCCTGTAGACAGGCACATGTGGCTGGCTCTGTGGGGTCCCGGATATCCCCAGTGTCCCTCCTCCCTGATGTCCTTAGCCAGGGGAAAGACCCAGGTGGTGGGCACTAGGTTTGAAGGCAATGACTCATGCAGAGTGGGCTGAGGGCTTCTTGAGTCAGCTCTGTCTCTGGTGTTAATGTCTCAAATAAGCCAGATCTGCCTCACCAAAGTGCATGCTTTAGAACTGGGGCCTTTGAGAACTGGAAGGGGATGCAGATATATTGGAATCTAATCCATTCTTTTTATAAATGAGACTCCTGAGATTCAGAAGGGAAGGGTCTTGCCCAAGGTCACAAAGCGTTGTCACAGTATAAGCCATAGAACCCATCATCTTTTGAAATGAACTGCCTTCCTGAAGCCTCTGTGTCCCCAGTCTTCATAGAGATCGAAGGGAGAGACCTTTCCCTATGTACCCCTGAGGTTTAAATGCAGCCTGAATGCTGTTCTGTCATCAGTCTTCAAGAGCCAAGAGTGTCTGCATGTATGATTGTCTCTGTGTGTGCACTAGCTACTGTGTCCTTAAAAGTTGAATCTATTGAACACCAACTGAGGGAGCAGTGCAGTGTGGCGTTAGGAAAACAAGCTTTGGGGTTGGACAGACCTGGATTTCAATCCTGGCTCTGCCTCTGTTTCTGGCTGGGAGTCCTTGAGCAAATCACTATCTTTCTGAGCTTCAGATTCCTTGGCTGGTTAAAGGAGGACAGTAGTGGCCCTTCGTGAGATGGTTGGGGATTGAATGCAAACGTACTCATTAATTGCTTGGCACGGTGATGAGCACAGATAACGTTAGCTTCTTTCTCCATGACGTGAATAACTGGAATGGCAGGTTGCTCTTCCAGATAAGGGAATTCCAGGAGCTGGAGGGAAGTGGCGTAATGGTACCCAAGTGGGATTTGGAGCCAGCAGACTTGGGTATGAGTTCCAGCTCTGCCACCTAGCAGCTATGTGACCTGCCTGGGGTGAGTTTCTTAGCCACTCTGAATCTTTGAAAGTGCCAGGCTTATGGTAAATGCTCAGTAGTGGCCGCAGGTGAGAAGAACAAGGAGAAACGGTTTCCCTTGGTTCCTTCCTCAGCCTTCCCTGCTCCCCAAGTTCTGCTGACCCTACTTACTACACATCTTCTGGATTCACACTCTTCACCCCATTGTCATGCCATTCCCTTAGTTACCAACCTCTCTTGTCCAGAAGTCCACAATTGCCTCCTAACTGGTCTCTCTGCCTCCCTCCTGCCCTTTCAAAAACCCATTTTCCCAAACCCACTCTCCCTACAGAAGCCAGAGGAATCTTCAGCTAAACTTTCAGATCACATCACATTGTCTCATCTCCTAACCACCCACCCACCCAAGAAAAAGAAAATCCTCTAATCAGTTTCTGATAAAATCCAAACTCTTTTCCTGTGTTGGTGGACTCAGTAAAATAGATTGCCCTCCCCAGTGTGGGAGAGCATCATCCAATTCATTGAGGGCCTGAATGGAACAAAAGGCAGAGGAAGGAGGAGTTCGCCCCTTTTATCTTGCCTCACTGCTTGAGCTGGGACATCTCATCTCATCTTCTCCTGCCATCAAACTGGGATGTTCACTCTCAGCTTCTCTGGTCCTCAGGCTTTCAGACTTGGACTGAATTATAGCTCTGGCTTTCCTGGGTCTCCAGCTTATAGACATTAGGTTGCGGGACTTCTCAGCCTCCATAATCACATGAGCCAATTCCTCATAAATATCTATATATCTATATCATCTATATCTATATTTATATCATCTATATCTATCTACATAAATGTCTATCTATCTATCTATCTATCTATCGATAAATATATCTCTATATATACACACATATATATTTGGTTGTTTCTCTGGAGAATCTTGACAAATAGCCCTGTCTTACATATCCCATGGGATCCAGCCCCTGCTCACTTCTGTAACTTCATCTCTTAACACTCTCCCCATCTTCCACTATGTTATAGAGTCTACACTGACCTCCCTTCTGTTCCTAGAACATTCCAGGCTTACGATGTCACCTCCACAGCGAGGACTCCTCTGACTACTTGGTCTAAAATTGCCCCCAGTCACTACCTGTTCTAGCACCCCATTTGATTCTCTGCTTAGAACTTACTATTATCCAATATATTCTTATTTATTTATTGTCTGTCTGCTCCTCAGTGGAATGTAAGGCCATGTTCTGTTTTATTTATCACTGTACTCCTGGATCTAATACAGGGTCTGGCATGCAGCTGGTGCCCAGTAAATGTTTGTAGAACAACCATGTGAAGGAGAGGGAGGATCCAGATGTTCTGCCAGCTGCCTTGTATACATGGTCTCTAAGCTTTACAACAGCCCTGCAAGGTAGGTTTTATTATCCCCATTTTACAGATGAGGAAACAGATCAGAGGGGTTAAGTACACAGTTGAATCATAATATAACCTAGTTTGGACTCCAAAGTCCAGGCTGCCTTTTATATCATCTGATGAAGTGGTGACAGTGAGTGGGGTGGGGATGGCAGAGAGTTGGGGAAGGGTGAAGTTGGTGGAATGGTCACTAGGACCTTAGGCACATCTCTAGGCCTCCACTGTGCTGTTGGTCACTAAGGTGGGCTCCTAGGCCCTTCCAGCCCTGATGCCTCTGAAGCTGGCCCTCAGAACCTGTCCATTATATCTGATCCCCAGAGGGAATAAGCCAGACTCAAGTTCTCTCCAAGGAGAGGTAGAGATAGAGCCCCTGAAGGAATTTCCTACGCTGGGTGATTCAGACCCTAATGGGGGAATTGTTGAATTGTATGCATTGGCAAGTATTAGTTAACAGGAATGAAGATTTTATTATAAAACCTTAGTGGCTGGGGAGTGTGGGGTGTGAAAAACTTCTCACCCTGATCCTGACTCACTAGACTCCATCAATCCTGACGCCCTCTCTTAAATTTGCCTGAAAATCTGGGAGCCTAGGGATGCATTGATAAGGATACCCTGGAACTTCCTCTTCTCAGGCAAAGACAGAGCTGTTCCTGGGGACTGGGAGTCCTGGATTCCCAGAGGCTTCGGGAAGGGGCCTGGTCTAGACCCCGCTTTGACCTTTAGTTACTGAACCACCTCCCACCAATGTCAAAATGTTAAGCTTCAGCCTCCCCATTTGTAAACAGGAATGAAAACACCGTGCATGCCTCCATGGGCTGCTGATGACCATAGATTGTAGAAAATGCCAAACATCATGGAAGGATGAGCTGGTCAAGTAGGAGGTGACAGGCGGCCGAAGATTGGCAGGCTGACCTTCACAAGGCAGCATCTGTAGGTTCTATTCTGACTTGGTATGGCCTTCTGAGTCTGATTTTTCATTTGGGGGGAGGGTGGGGCGGTGGTGGGGTGTAACCCACATGCCAAAAGTCCAATCTCTCATTCTACAACTTAATAGCCATGGCAGCCTCTGGACCCCTCACCTAGACCTTTCTGTGGAGCTGGGGAACGGAACTCCATGAGGTAACTCAGGTAGGGCTTCTCAGTGCTGATCTCATAGTACCGGATGTTTCCATCTCCCTGGGGGCAAGGAGAAAGAGAAGTGAGGAAGGGAGAGGGGAGGGCTGAGCCCTGGTCCATGGGTCTGCTGAAGAGAGCCTCTACTGCGCCTCAGCGTGGTCAAAACCAAGGAGACCTTGCCTCTAGGATCTTGGTGGGTCTGCCACAGGGGACTTCCTGGGGGTGGTAGTGTGTGTGTGTGTGTGTGTGTGTGTGTGTGTGAGAGAGAGAGAGAGAGAGAGCTTTTCTGGCAAACAAAGCCATATTTGTCAGAGATCTCTTAACAGCTGCCTCAAATTCCATCTTGAGTCAGTGTTCTACACTTTAGGCTCTGATTTTTATTCCAATGTAAAACCCTCTCCAATCCACCTCTGAAGGACTTCTCAACCATGGACACTTTAGTAAGAATAAATGTCAGGTTGAGGGTAGGTTTCGATGGAAGAGGATAAGACCCAGATTGGGTCAGGAGAAGGCACAAGAGGTTAGGCTGGCTCTTCTTAGCGGGTTAGGGCAGGAGCAGGGGCCCAACAGGGGCAGGGGTGTCCCACAGGCTTTCCCAGTCCCTCCACCACCCTCTGCTACCTTTCCAGCCAAGTAGAGCATGTGGGTGTCCGCATCGTAGAAGGGGAATAGGAGGCCAGAGAGCCCATCAATTTCCTCCTCGATCAGAGGCATGGATAGGTCCTCCTGTGGGTGGGGGCTGGTATCAGCTTATGTCCTGGCAAGATGGCACCTCACTTTCCCAAACCCCAGCAAAGCCCCAGAGCTACAGTCCTTTTATGTCACCTCCCGGCCTCCTTGCAGCTGACCTGGTCCCAGAGGGCAATCTGTCTTGTGTTCCACCTGGACACCCCTGTCGTGAGAAGCCTCTTCATGTTCCCCAGAAACACCACCCGGTTCACTCTGTGGTTTTTGCAGTTCGCCTCCTGGCGGGGAAGAGAAAGCTGGTGAGTCAGGGCCCCAGACACCAGGGTCCTGTAGTGGGCTGCATTGGTGGCCCCCAGAAGATACTTCACGTCTTAATCCCTGGAACCTGCGAATGTTTCCTTATTTGGAAAAAAGGACTTAGCAGATGTAATTTTAAGTTCAGGGCCTTGAGATATGAGGGGAGTCCCCCCTGGATTATACAAGCGGGCCCTAGATGCCATCATATAAGAAACAGGCAGAGGGAGATTCCACAGACACAGAGGAGAAGGTGATGTGACTGTAGAGGCAGAGCTGGGAGTGATGCAGCCATAAGCCAAGGAAGCCAGCAGCCACCAGAAGCTGGAGAAGGCAAGGAAGGATTCTCCCCAGAGCCTCCGGAGGGAGTGTGGCCCTGCTGACACTTTGATGTCAGATTTCTGGCCTCCAGAACTGGGAGAGAATCGTTTCTGTTACTGTAAGTCACCCCATGTGTGGTAATTTGTTATAGCAGCCCCAGGAAACAAATATAGGTGCTGAGGAAGAGTGGAGCACTGGGACTGGGAAACCAGGCCTCCCTGTCACGCCCCAGAGCCGGGAGTGGACAGGGAAGGGGGAGCTAAACAAGACCCAGCCCAAGCAGGGTCTGCACTGGGCCAGGTGCTCTCAGCAGGGTGTCTCTTTTAACCCACACAACATCTACCGGCAGGAATCTGAGGATGAGAAAACTGAGGCTCAGGAGGATAGGGGACTCATGCTGGGTCATTGTTCGATGACTCACTTCACCAGGGGCTCCTACTAACAGAGCTGTCCTCTACCTCCTCTCCTGAGACCCAGCCATGACACTTCCTTTTCTTCCTGACACAGAATGGTTCTCTGCCAGGATGAGTCAGCATCAGGTAGAAACGAGAGGCTGGCAGAGCAGTGCTAAGACCCAGGTTGGTGTCACTTGCCCTGGATTTTAGTTCCATGTTCTGCCAAAAAAAAATGTAACCTGGGAGGAGCCTCTCACCTTCTCTGGGCCCGTGTCCCCAGACGTGAGGCGGAGGTTGGGTTCTCTGCTCTCTCACACATTTTCTGCCCAGCCTGGGCTCTGGGGGTCCATCTGGCTAGGTGTGAATTATAGCTCCTTCATGACTGTGGGATTCTAGTCTCTGACTCTCCAAGGCTCAGCGTTCCCATGCGTGAAATGGGAAGAGAAACAGTGCCTACCTCAGAGGACTGTCATGAGGATTAAATGAGGTGACAAAGCGGAGCCCTTAGTCCAGTGCATGCCACACAGTGAGCTCTGAGTAAATGTTGGTTAATACTAATGATGCTGATAACTAGGATAATTATTATTATTTGTAGTAGTAGTAAGTGACTTTTTGTTCTTACAATACTGGAGTCTTCCTAGGTGAACACAGCCAGGTCACCATTAATTCTTTCTTGTGTAGGAGATACATCTCAAATTTTATCCAAATTTTCCATCCCCCCTAGTGACTGGTACGAAGTAGGTGTCCAAGAAATGTTAATTTCTTAGTCCTAAATGGCATCTAATCCCTTCCTCACAGTCAAGACCCAGAAGACTCAAAGATCAAAACTGGAACTAAGTTCACCATCAACCTCCCTGCTTAGAGCCATCCGTGAGGCTGGCACCCCGAGCCATTTCCACCAGGCTTGTCCCATGCAGATGGCTGAGCAGTGAGTCCAAATCCCCTCCTAGTGGGGTCAACACTCAGAGACTCACACATTGAAGGGCATCACCAGCTTGGCCCCCAGAGCAGGACAGATGAATCTCACCTGCGGGCGGGGGGTGTGGTGCAGTGGGTGAGAAATGGTACTAGAGCCCCTCCCCACCAAGAACAAGGCAGGGCTCCTGTGAGCCGAGGAAGGTCCAGCATAGACAGGCTGGTCAACAGAGGTACAGGCCAGGTGCATGGGAGAGGGGAGCTGGCACTGCCTTTCCCCAGACCTGGTTGAAAGCCAAGCCCCAGACCCCAGTATCTTCCCATCCCCTCAAAAACATGTGGGCTTCACCTGCAGAATGCGGCCAGAACGGGGCTCAATCACGCGCAGCTTCTTGTCCTTGCACGTGGTGGTGAGGAGGCTGCCGTCGGTGTTGAAGGACATGCAGAGGATCACGTCCGAGTGGCAGTCGATCATCTTCACGGGCTCACCCACATCCAGGTTCCAGATGAGGACCTGGGAGAGTGGACACGCAGGAGGCGGGGTCAGCCTGCTTCTGCTGTCATGGGGCATCTGTCTCCAGTCCCCACCTGATGGTCCTGGGAGAGATGCCTTGTGCAGGGTGGAGGTGTGCTGGGATGCAGGATGGTGTTGTTGAGTTCTGTAACAAAGGCTAATGTGTCCCTGTCACACAAATCCACTATATCCTTAGGCAGACCCCAGCCCAGCCTGGGCTCAGTTTCTGCTACTAGCAAGAACATGTTCCTCGTGCCAGGTTCCAGTGGCTGGAACACCTCTTTCGAGGGCATGCCGGGGGCTGGGGCCCGGGCTCTCCCCTCCAGCAGGTTTGGTTCTCCTTTTCCCTACCAGGAGAGTGTGGACACAAAGTGGGCTGTCACCTCCAGTCCGTCAGTGTCACAGTAGGCAGTACAGACACCTCCAGCCTCTGTGGACTCAAGGAATGATGGAGCGCACAGAAGATACTTAGTTGTGTGTAGTGAGTGAATGAATGAATGAATGAATGAATGAATGAATGAATGAATGAATGAATGAATGAATGAATGAATGAATGAATGAATGAATGAATAATGAGATGATATTGGTTAACATGCTCAGGAAAGTAATAATGTTCCCCCAAAGATGCCCTCCTCTCTCCCTCCCCATCTCCACTGCTCACTAGGCTGCCCACCTTGTAGTCATAGCCAGCACTGAACAGGATGTTGTTGGTGGTGGGGTGCCATTCGACCAGCCCCACACGCCGGCTGTGCCCGTGCATCTCCAGGAGAGCCTCTGTCATGTTCCGCTTCAGCCCGCCCTCGGGGATCTCCCAGATCCGCACCTGCAGGAGGGACAGAGGGCCTCGGCTAGGTTGGCAGGGCCAAGAGAAGCCCTTGATGGCGTCTCCTTCGGTCACCAGGCTTTCAGAGACTTGCTTGGTGAGGAGCCTCCTGGCCAGGGTGGTGGGCAGAGCCTGACTGAGCCCTGTGGGAAGGTTCCACGGTGTGGTTAGAGAGGAAAGAGGCTATCTCCTCTCTGCCTTTGGGAGGGTATTCTCTGAGAAGTCTCTGCAGATCTTGGCAACTATTATTACTGGCATGTTCATATTTTTATGGTCTAGCCAGACCCAAAGGACCACACACTGAGCAGCTTTTAGCTAGTGTAGTAAAAAGCCCATCTCTGCTTCCCTTCCCACATCCCGCTAAGAGATTCACCTTCAGACCCAGCTTTTCTCTTTGTATCACACAGCCTTGTTCCCCACTCTGTTCCCCACCCAGGATGGACACCTGAGCAAAGGGAAACCCATCTGGGAGCCTGGGAGGCTCAGAGTCTCCCCTGAGAGATGATGAACTAAGGGGCAGAGACTGATTAGATGTTAAAGCCTGAGACGAAAGGATGGGCAGAGCCTGGGTGCAACTGCCATTTCCAGTCTTATGGATGCTAATAGAGAAGCAGAAAAAGATGATCTGCAGAGAGGAGGATGGGACTTGCAGAGAAGCAGAGAGAAGAGACCATATGGTCCCAGAGAGAGAGAAACTGGGCAGTTTCTCTGCAATCTTTGAATAACCCCCCAGATTATTTACACCAGCCCTAGTGGGCTTGTTTCTCAGGCCAACAGACTCTGCAGAGTTTTAACTGTTTCACCTACAGATAGGGAAAATCTTTGCCTCGCTTTGCCTACTGGCAGAACAAAATGAGATACTGCTTGTAAAAACTGGTAAACTATAAAGTGCTCCAAAGACCTAAGGAATTATAATTCTTGTTCTGATTGTTGTTATTATCATCACTAATGCTGTTTATGATGATCTAACTGGTGGGGAGGAAAGAGCACATGTGACAACAACTTGGGACACCTTTAAACAAACCTTTTGAAAATCTGAACTCCACCCTTGCCAGTAAGGAGAAAAACAGGAAAAACAGCTTTGAGATACCATTTATAATCTTCTAAAATAGCCAACTAAAAAAATAAAAAGAGCCACTGCTGGCAAGATTATACTGGAATTTGTAGGTTCAATTGGTGTTGGAAGTGTTATAAATCAGAATCATTCTTTTGGAAGAAATTTGGCCATCTTTAGTAGAAACCATAAAGACATTTATGTTATATTCTTTGACGTAGTAATTTTACTCTTAAAATCCAATATAAGAAAAATCTTTATGTGCAAAGATGATCACTGTAATATATATATATATAAAATTTAGAAACACTAAATGACCAACATGAAGGGAAGAATTTAATGTCATATCAGTATAGAATATTAGCCATTTGATTACAATTCTGAAGGTTATGAATAACAGAGAGAGCATGTTAAAGAAAGCCAGTTACGGGCAGTCTCAAGGATAGGGGAGCAAGGCTGGGAACTGGGGGTGCCCCAAAGGAAATCTCCTTGGCCAGTTTCCCTTCTTACTGCTTCCTCTTCAGACTGTAAAAATGAGTATTTCCCACACATGTGTTTTCCTGAAGACCCAGCTCTGCACGTGCAGACACAGGGGGCTTCCGGGTGAGAAAGGCAGGTCCAATCAAGGACTGGGGTCACCTTTAGGTGCACCATTCTTGGCTTCAAAAACATATTCAAGAAAAAGATTATGATTAAGGGGCAGTTGAATGTTTTCCCATCCTCATTTTTATCTCCCTTGGTTGTTCCTGCTCTCCACACAACCCTTCAGAGTGGTGGGCCTGGGGGAGGGAGGTGACGTAAAGGACCCCGTGGTCCTTTCTCCACAGGCCCTGTGCAAGGGCCTTCTGGGATGAGGTCTGATCTGGAAATGGCGGGATGGTGGAGTGGGGATGCAGGCAGATAACTCAGTAGTCACTGATAAGACACATATTTCTCTTGTCCCCAAATGTACTAGAGGAATGTGATCCTTGAAGAGAGGAGACTGATGCTTGGGTTAGACACACACACCACAAGCACACATACCACACACATCACCATACCACACACACACGCCATATTCCCCTACACCACACTCCGCATATGCCACACCCCTACACCCCTCTCTCTCACACACATTTCTTTCTTTTTTACCCACAGGAAAAAGGAATGCCATTATATATGTACTTCTACAACTTGCTTTTCTCATGTAACAACAGTGGGCATCTTTCCACACTACTACATATGGGTCTACCTCATCTTTTTAAGTAGCCAGAGAGACATCTGCTGTATGACTGTGCCATGATGAATTTAATCAACCTCTATTAATGGACACCTGTGTTCTGTCCACCTTTTTCCCTATTACAATTCCTTCCCTGATGAGCAGCCCTGTAATACAAGTTCATGCATGGGTGCAAGTATTCCTGTAGGACACATACCTAGATATGTTTCATTATAGTTACTGCAAAATTGTCCCCAAAATCTGTTCCAGTTTTCATCAATAGAGTCTGCCTCTTCACTTATGTCTCTAAAACTATACCTTCAAAAATGGATTTTTGCCCATCAGATCAAAAATGCCATCTCAACCATTGTTTGGATTTGCATTTCTTTGATTCTTAGAAATATGGGGAGTCTTCTTCTGTGACTACTGGCCACCCTTGTCTGCACTTGGGTAGGAAACTCAAGAAGCTTTCGGACTCAAGGGGATGAGATCTAAAGGGGCAGAATGATGGGCCAGCGTGGAGGCGTTTGGGAGCAGAGGATCCTGTCTGTGGACACCTCATACCATCTCTTGAGAATAGTGGACAAATGTGTACACACACACAAATGACAAGTCATTCAATGCCTAAGTGTCAACAGAGGCAGGAGAGTGGCCTCTGACCTTTGAGAAAGACTTCTGAAACAGAGTTGAGCCTCATTCCTTTCACACACACCTCTTATGAGCTCAGCCCTTGCTGGCCAATGGGATGGGCGCTGAGCTTGCCTTGTGCCTGCCCTTGAGCAGCACACACTGGGGCCCACATGGCAGAACACCCTGGGAGCACAGGACTGGAGGAGCCTCGAATCCAGTCTTGGGGGTGACAGGGTGGGAGGGTCTGGGAGAAGCAGGATTAAAAGAGGGGATGTTGGCCCACATTTGAAAAGACAGGTTGGAGATGTGGGGAAGAGTGGGGAGACAGAAAAACAACCAGCGTGTGTGGGTTGGGCACAGTGGGTGGGGAAATTGCAGACAGATCAGCCTGGCTGGTGTGGAGCAGGCTGGCAGATGGCAGAGGAGGCCAGAGACCGTGTGTATCACACCTAGTCACTGAGGCCCAAAGGAGCACTGCTTGGGTGGAGTCTGAGAAAAAACCCTTTCCCAGAACAGCCTAATACTGAGCAGCCAGCTAACTGAGGCATCCCTGGGTTGAATCACATGCCCAGTTAAGGTAGAGACAAAGGGGAAGCTGTGAAGTGAGGGTCCACTCAGGCTCTAATACCACGGACAAGCTGGAAGAACTTCGACAAGCCCGTTAACCTCTCTGAGGCTCAGGCTCATCGTCCAAATGATGAATTAAGATGTATGCACCTTTTAGAGGCATGTGGGTTAAATTAAACTGGGCTTCAGAGTCCTTGTGAGGCTTTCTAGCCACATGGGTGGATTCGTTGGGGGCAACAGTTCTGCTTAAGAACCTAGGTGTTAAGCCAAGAGGATGGGAGGGTAGGTTGTGTCTGTGTTCAGGCTCAGCCCTTGGACTAGATTCATACCTCGTGGGGTGAAGGGCTGCGAGGGGGAAGCCGAGAGCTGTTTTCACCAATAACTGCTGGAGTAGGGTTCCACAGAGGGCTTGGGGAACCCGGATGAAAAATGTCCCACAGAGAGGGAGAGAGGCTCCCTGCCTTATCCCCCCACTTCCCTCCTAGGGCCTTGGTCTTCTCATACACACATTGAGACAGTGTAAGTTAATCTTTCAAACTTCTCTGCTGTTGGCATCATTAATTGTATCCTTGCGGGGAAGAGACTAACTCCTTGATCCACCGCTACAGCTAACAGTTGGCACCACATGCTATAGGAGCTCAGAGGAGGAGCTGGAGTTCACAGTGGGCCTAAGTAGCTGGAAAAGGAATTCCAGTCTCTCAGTACTCAAGGGATTTGTTGGAGGCAAAAAGTGGATGGGTGTGGGAGAAGTGCTGTGGATCTGTGCAGAGGTTATTCTGGGAGGTTACTTCAATTCAACAGGAAACCCAAAAGGGTCTGCCAAACCGGATTTCTGGAAGGAAGGGGAGGGGAAAAGCAGCAAAAGCACTCTCTCCGGCAAGCCAGCTGTGCCTATGTCCCCTTCATAGGTCCCTGGGTCAGGGCCTTGTTTATTTCAGTTATATTCATCCAACAAAATATGCTCAGCCCCTCCCTGTATCACGCACTTTAGACATGGGGGGATGGTCCTTGGTGTCAAATATTTCAGTCTTGTAGGGGAGACGGCAGACACCTGCAGACAAGGCAAGATGGCTGACAAGGATGGTTAATAAAGTTATAAAACCAGTGTCTCTGTGCATGGGGGAGGGAGCAGCTGGTCAAAAAAGAGAGAGCTTTGTGGTCTGACAAACTCCATTCAAATTCAGGCTCTGAATTTAACTGGCTATGAGACTTTAGCCAAGTTGCTTAGCCTCTCTGAGCCTCGGTCTTCTCATCTGTAAGAATAATTTTACCTATAATTATAGTTGCTATGAAGACTAAAGATAGAATATATGCCATGCCCTACCAAGCAGATTACTAAGCACTTATTAATGTGTAACAATGCTTGCTTATTATTGATTGAGGATTATACACAAGTTTTATATAGGTCAAATTTTAGATGTGATTCATACTTTTCACGTGCACTTTGTTACCCTTGTGTAGTTAATGCATGTGATATAAAGTTTGTCTCCATTGTATAGAATGCAGCATAAATTTCCTCCCTGAAATTATGACATGATTACGAAGGTATCT